TCTCCTCCTCCCTTTAAGCCAGCTTTCTTCTGATTGGCTGTGTGTCGGAGATGACCCCAAGAGGGATATCCACTGTTTATGACATCACACAGAGCCATGAGAAGAAAAAAAAGTCTGTACCTCAGTGTTTGGGCTTTGAGGAGCTACTTGCTCATCCACTGACCTCATAATGTGAAACTATGACTGTTCATAAGAAACACGACCATCTTTGGGACTTTCAATAGATTAAAATAAGAAAATCGTGTGATAAGGATCATATGTTCTCAGAGCGACACCTCTGTGTTCTACAGCATTCATCCCAGCTCTGGCTCTAACTCACCGTTTCCTGCGCGAGCCGCGCTCCCTCCTCCAACCCGTACAGCTTTCCTCGGATAAGGAAGACGCCGGCAGACCAGATGCCGCAGTCCTCGTGGATCCAGCACTCATCCAGGTGAAGAGGCGCCTTCGGGGAGGCGTTGCCATCAGCAGCTCTGCTGTCGTCTGAGGGATTTACCCCTCGGCTTTTAGAGAGTCCGTTTAGCTCCTCCTTCTGGGCGTCCACGCTGGGATAGTAGGGGCCGTGAAGGTCCCCGAGGCCCATGACGTTGGCGGTGTGGCTGCAAAGGCAGCAGAACAGCGATGACTCGCACCGGCTGTCTGAGCTGAGCCGACCCGGCTGAAAACAGGAGGTGTTGGGAACAAACCCGGACAGAGACTTGCAAGCAGCCCGCCGCCCTCCCTCGCTGCTCCGAACAGTTGCCTCCTCCTCCCGGTAGTTGACCACGGTGCACGCTCGCCGCTCCAGGTGAACGAACGGGCAGAAACCGCCCGATTTCTTCTCCTTTTTGTCTTCTTTAGTCTTCAGATATTTGAGCTTGATCTCAGGCTCTGTCGGAGAAAACAGAGACGAAGGCCCAGTCTGACGGCGGCGTTTCCTCCGCCACCTTGCGACAGTTTTTTTGCTCGCCACCGCACTCCTACAGGCTGAAGCATTCTGGTGCGGTGGCGGCGACGGTGGCGGGATCCTACGCTTCTGTTTTGTTCTTCTTAACTTTTTTGTTTGAGGAACTGCAAGCGGCTTCTTTCGTTTGTGATTAACGGTTTTTGCATTTGAAGCGTCACGCTGACGCTGCGTCTCAATCTGCGGGGACTTCCTGTCCGTCCCGACATCTGCGTCAGACTCCTCTGAATGGCTTCTTGCTCTTTGCGGCGACTTCACCGGCAACTCGTCTGAGCTAGACACCCTCAAGACGTAGTCCATCACTTCATCGGAGTCGCAGCTCTCGTTGTATATACCCACGGCGTCGTGTTTGACTCGCCTGCTCAAGCTATGGCGAGATACGTTACAGGTGAGCGGCGGGATTTCTGAGGCCGGCCTTCGTATCCTAGCGCTGCGGCGGACTTTGCTTTGCGGCGCTTTTTCGCTCTCGCTCTGAGGAGGAGGAGTCTTCTGGTAGCATTTGTTTTTCTTCTTCTGATCGGTGACAGAAACTTCGATGATGTCGCTGTCATCGCTGGAGATGTCGACCGCAGATTCAGCTGCGTTGGCGTAAACGGCACCGAGGTCGGAGAGGAGGACGACGGGCCGGGTGTGATGTACAGGAATGTCCACCGAGCTGTCCGAGGAATCTTCCGAGTACGAGCTGTCAGGGCTGGGCGAGCTCAGAGGCTGAGGTAGGTGGTAGCACGCTCGCTCTTCGTCGAGCGAGGACGCGGCGGGGGACAGGGGCTCCACCATGTGTGTCACGCCGTCCTGCATGAAAGAGCCGCACAGGAGCGGCTCCTTCGCAGAGGACACGAGGAAGATGACATCAGAGCCGCTGTCGCTCTCCTCGCCGCCGCTGCTTTCAGGAACGGGGCCACCGCTCTGCTCGGGCCCATAGAAACCTCGATGCCACAGGCTGCCGTGGACTCCGTCGTGGTACAGATCCAGCCCCGGACCAAGCGTCGAGTTCATGTAGCCCCCCAAAGACTCTGGGCCGTCCTCCATGTCCCTGCAGCGCACGGGCGCTCCTGGCTGCGTGGAGAGCGAGCCGTAGGAGGAGGAGGAGGCTCTGGATCTGTACGAGGAGGCGAGATCTGTGCTCACCGGGCGTCTGTGGTACCACTCGGGCTTCTTGGCCAGGTCCATGGCTTCAGCGTGGCTGCGGGTCAGTGGGTTGTAGCTCTTTGACAGGTCCATCGCCATGAGAGGAGGATCCTGGGAGGACACATCCATCACTGCAACACACAGACGAGCAAAACCCTGTGATCCAGTTAGCACAGCTTCCCAGTGATTAAAAAAAGACACACAGACTGAAAACTGAAAACAGTCACTGGAAAACCAGAGCAACTGAAACTTTAAGAGCTGTTTTGTTAGTGTAACAAATAAGTTAACATTTAAAGCCGCGCATGCAACTTAAAGAATATTTATGGAACAGACAAAAACAATCAGTTCAGTGTTGGTAAACAATGGATGCTCATATGACCTGTTTGTTATTAATATGAGTTTACAGGTAAATGGTATAATAAAAAATAATATGCATAGAGCTTTATAGCATGAACACATTATGATAAATCAATGAAAAATTATTTTATTTTTTTAAAAATTTCTGCTGTCAGTCTCCAGGATTATCAGTGATAGTGATTGGTCCACAGTGACACTGTAGTCCATCATTCAATTACACTATTCTTCTTTTTGCCTTTGTACAGCTATGACTGATTACAGACTGACCTTGATGCATTTCTGTTTTGTATTTTTGAATCATTTCCACCCAAAAAGCCACGCAATCAATAAAGTTAGACACGAAGTATCATTCCTTTTTTTAAATTTGCATTTTGTTCTTTTTTTTTTTTTTTTTTACCCGTGATAATCGTGACATGAAAACAAGCTCCTATCCAAGAAGACGATAAAGGATTTAGTTTCACAGTATCGTCCTTTCTAATCAAATTTCGATGTCGATGTAGCTTACTATTATTTTATTTATTTAGCCGGACAAGCAGTAAAATATAAGCTACTTTTAAATAATACACAGGAAATAAATGTAAATATCACAATAATTTATATCTGATGATTAAGGATATGGCTTTAGTGACTGATGGATGAGAAAAAAAGCCCAACTAATTAATCGATAAGTTATGTCAGCTTTTCCTCTAACAGGTAGGCCCGTTCACTCAGATGCCTCCTAAAACCTGCCTGTTACAGATGTTTTGCTGTTGTCAAACAGCTGGGGATCTTACCCCTGAGGTGTGGGCGGTTGGGGCGGACCTCCCCGATCCTGACACTGCGGACTTTAGGGTGACACCTTCCCCGGAGCAGCGCGAGTAGCGCGGTTAGCTAACGCAGCTCTCCAGGCCCATGGCCCGGACTGGATGTAAACAGCAGCGACGCCAGCCCCAGCTCATGCTAGCCGGACAGCAAGCCGACGTCGGCCCGCTACGCTGCTCCGAAACGCAGCCGATACTTGACGCGACGATGACCCGTGAACATTTCCGCGGAGGTGAAATCCACCAGGTAAACCCCGACCTGCTGCTACCATCGGTATTTTAAAGTTGTCATCATGGACGTCTCTTCCCTCCTTAGTCAAGCCACCGCGAAATAAAGCGGAAGAGAAGGCGGCGTCTTCAAAATAAGAGCTTCGGGAAACCGTCAACATCTATTTGTATTTCAACTTTGTGTCACCTTTGCAGTCACATCGAGCTCAGCACTTCTGTTTTGTTTGATTGAAAACTTTGTTTGTAATCGTGACTTCACCAAAATATATGTCACTCTCGTTTTTTTTGATCATTTTCTTTTTAGTATACTTATACTGAAGACTTATTTCACACGTTACCAAACTACTATCCCATATCAGCCAGAACATCCCCCCAAAAACTACAAATGTGCAGCTCTATGGGAGATTGTTTCTGCCACTTTTGTGGTGAAGACTTTTGTGGAAAAAAAATGTGCTGGAAACAAACTTTCCTAAAGTATAGCATTTTGCATATTAATAATTTATTAACTGCATTCTTTTCACTAGTACTATGTAAAATGATGTTCATGGAAATCTAAAATAAACTCCTACGTCACACAAATGGGGCTTTTATTGTGAAATATTCACTTGGAAATCACCTTTAACTGTCAGGCATCTTCACTCGCTCCTTCTAGCATTCACATTCTGATTCTTATTTACTGCTGCATCTTCACAAGATGTCAGAATAACTTAATTTAAAAAAACTGTTACATTTTTATCTATTTATTTTTGGTACAAATTATTGCTGTTTTTTATTTTAATTAGAGGCTAAATAACGAAACATGTAGCTCTATTATACGGAGGACCACAACTGCCAGAATAAAGGTAAATGTGTTGATAAAAACTTCTTATATACAGTGGTCCCTCGCTATAACACAGTTCACCTTTCGTGGCCTCGCAATTTTTTTTGTGCAACTTTGCATGCTTTTTTTTTTTTCAGCCGACTGTTCTGCGTCCTGATTGGCTGCAGACCATTGTCAATCAATCTTGTGCTGTGTCTCCTGTCCAGTACACAATGCGTTCAGCTTGTCAAATTTACATAAATCTTCGATCGCTAGCAGCGTGACTCTGAAGTGCTGTACTGTATGTTTGTAAGTTTTCTCCCCAACAAACACAACAATGTCGATGAAATGTTTTGCACCATCATAGGCTCCTTTGGTTTCATTCTATACTACTGGACTTATTTTTCTACGAAGGTTTGAACTTTGAGAGTGTTTAAACAAGAGAGAAAAGTCTGAAAATGTTCGTGCCTGTTTGAGTAAAGTGTATAAAGTGTGTAGTGAGGGGTTTTACGGCCTTAAAACATCCATAATAATTGTAAAAAATAAAGTTGGCTACTTTGTGGAGGTCATTTATCGCGGGTTATTTTTAGAACATCACTCCCGAGATAGCCGAGGGACCACTGTATAGGAACCCAGTGCAATAATGAAAAGCATTTCACCTTTAGCACAATGGAACACAACATCGCTGGTTCAATGACACAAATTCATTTAATAAAAATAATAGTTTTACAATAAAAACACTGCAGTGTTAAAGCCTGAATACAAATATAAATTACAGTGCAGCTGTATCAGCCAGAAAAGGAGTTTAATTTAAAATATTTTCCTAAAATGACAAACAACAAAACAAATATTTTACAGTTTTTTTATACGGTAATACTCAGCAAATACAAACACATCACAGATTCAGTGTCAGAAAGGTTAAAGCAGTAAAAACATCTTTATCTCTATAAAAATCTGAAGTAAACTGTGGGGTGAGGTGGCATATAATGAGGAAATAAAACTGGCAAGTCGTCACGGCGACGTCCGTCCCAGCGCCTGATGAGCCAGCCTCAGGTTTTCTCTCAGCTCGTCTGCCTCTCGCTCCGCTTTTGCCCGAACGATGCTCAGCTCCGTGTACATGTCCTTGTATTTCTTTGTCGCGTTCCTCTTGTCCTGTCACACCAAAAAAAACAAAATCTGGTTTATTTATCTGTTTTGTCCACTCGATTCGATCACCTCCAGGCACAGATCACCCTCAGTCCTAATCAAACCCTGCAAGTAAGTCACCTGTACGCTAGGGCTGCCACGATTAGTCGACTAGTCACGATTATTTCGACTATCAAAATCGTCGACGACTGATTTAATAGTCGACGCGTCGTTTGAAGCTTTGTAAGATCACAAAAGACGCAGGAATAAGTAGTAGGATTTAAGAG